TTACCTGAATATGTGGACAGAACAATCTCATCATAACCATCTTTCCCTACACAGCCACCCTGGATTGATGTAATACTTTCAGACAGCATCTAAAATAAATTTAAGACAAATCACTTCATTAATATCTAAACATTTCAGAGATATGTTAAAATAAGCCACATTGGTGACAAATAAGTGCACCAGACCCTCAACATACATTTGTTGAATATTCAGCATGGGCAGACACTGAAGTCAGGCAGAAAATTCCAGCATTTTAAAATAACTCTAGCATATTTGTGTGTACCACTTAGTATAATCATCTCATGAGCAGAAACCATTTATATAAAGAAGAAGAAAGGTTTGGTAAATTATATTTATGACATCTTTTAATCATACCTAATGACTCTAAATACCAGGAAACTATATATGCAAATCATTGATTTTAAAAGTGAGAAATCAAAATGACTGATAATAAACAGAAATGTTATATTGTTTCCTTTTCTCCAACTATTATTTTCATTTTTAAAATTTTTAAATTTATTATTGTGTGAATGTATGTATGTGTATGTGTATGTGTATGTGTATGTGTGTGATATGTGTGGGCATGCATGCCACAGAGCAAATGTCAGGGTCAGAGGGCAACCCTGTGAGTTGGTTGTCTCTCTCTACCTTTATGTGGGTTCTGGGGATCAAACTCAGGTTGCCAGGCTTGTGTGGCAAGCACCTTTACAAACTGAGCCATCTCAACAGCTCCTTCTTTTTAAATTTTATTTATTAAGTGTGTGGTGCATGTTATATGTCAAATTTTATTTTCATTCCATTTCCCTCAGAAACTTTCATCTTAATGTAATATATTCACATGTATTTTAATATACTGTAATATAATATACTCATATGGAATTCTTTTACAAGTTAATTCTCTACAACCAAAAACTATACACTGAAATTACCTTCTGTAATCATGAAGCTCTAAGAATTAGAAATTTCTATCATTAGTATAACATATCTGACCAAAACTAATATACGGGGGCTGAAGAAATGGCTTAGTGGTTAAGAGTGCATACTGCTCTTGCAGAGGACCCAGGTTCAATTCCCAGCACCAACCTCAGGTGGCTCACAATTTCCTGTAACTCCTGCTCCAAGGGATTCAACTTCTCTGGCTTCTCAAGCACCTGTACTCATGTGCACATACCCACATTCACACATACATACTTAAGAATATTTTTTAAATTATTTTATTTCAGGGCTGGAGGAATGGCTCAACAGTTAAGAGCACTGTCCGCTCTTGCAGAGGACCTGGGTTCAATTCTCAGCACCAACATGGCAGCTAACAACTGCCTGTAACTCCAGTTCCAAGGGATCCAACGCCTTCTTCTGACCTCAGTGGGCACTGCATGACATGGGTGCACTGACATACATGCAAAGCAATACACTCATGCACATGAAATGAAAATAAATGCTTTATTTCCTCCCAAATTATTCATGAACTACAAATTGATACTACATAAGACCAACTTCAATGTCAGTGCTATTCTAGTTTTTCATTTTTACTGATATAAGCTCTCACAGTTCCTCTGTCATTAGAAAAACAGAAGAAACAGCTGAGGTTCTTAGTGCCAGGTAAGTGAGCAAGTAAATGCTATGCTATTTACTGAGGTTTAGGACAGAAGTTGGAGAAAGACTTTAGGTCCAAATAGGAAAAATTTCTCAAGGGCTGATAAGAAAAAGTAGATTGTCAACAAAGTATTATATGCTTTTAAGTCTGAACTATTTTTTGAATCTTACTTAGCAAGATGATTTTTTTACACCAAGACTGAGCCAAATCTGTAAAATAAATTCAACTGCATAACATTTTAATGTCCATATTGTCTCTGTAACATACTCTGGGGGCGCCATCAATTTTAAACACCCTCAAAGTATCCTCCAGGAGACAGCATGGCGAAGCCCTGGAAGGGATTTAAATGCCCAAACCCCACTTGCCCACACCCATGGGAGTTTAATTCCCAAAGTCACTATAATGGATCAATCAAGTACGAGGAATACAGGCCTCTCTGGTATTTGTGGCACTCTGCAGCAAGAGGAAAATCACCAGATGAAGGTCCTTGGTGCTTTCAGTTCAGAACCACAGGCCACACTAAACCTCTTTAAAGTAGCGGCCCTCGGAGTCCATTATAGTAACGAAAAACAATAATTATAGCACCAATTTATTAAAATGAAAAACTGACAAGAAAAAAATTAAGAAAAAATTTTTTTAAATAAAATGAGCCAGGCGTGGTAGCATGCTCCTTTAATCCCAGCATTTGGGAGGCAGACACAGGCAGATCACTGTGAGATTGAGGCCAGCCTGGTCCACATATCAAGCTCCAGGCCAGATGGGGCTACGGGGAGAATCTGTCTTGAAAAGACCAAAAAAAAAGAAGAAGAAGAAAAGCAGGGAAAGCAAGCCAGTAAACAGTTCCTATCTCTCTGGTTCCGTTTCTGCCTCTAGGTCCCTGCACTGAGTTCCTGCCCTGGCTTCCCTCAGCGATGGACTGTGACAGAAGGAGGAGGAGAAAAAGAAAAACTTTATATATACAATATAATACAATTTAGACCTAAAAATAATGAAATCATGTCTTTTATATTAACATGGATGGAACTGGAAATCATGCTAAATGAAATAAAGCCAGACAGAAATACAAGCCCCAAATGATCTGACTCAGGGGAAATATAAAATGTTGCTCTCACAGAAGTTAAGAATAGAGTGGTAGATACAGTACCTAGGAGGGAGGGATAGCAACAAGTTGATTAATGAACATTAACTTTTTAAATGTTTTGCTTATTATTTTTATTTTGTGTATAAGTATATTGCCTGCATGTATTTAAATGTACCCATTTGTGCAGTGCCCACAGAAGTCAGAAGAGGGTGTTGGCTTCCCCTGGAACTGGAGTTCTGGATGGTTGTTAGCTGCTATGTGGGTGCTGGGATTCATACCCAGGCCCTCTGCAAGAGCCACCAGTGTTCTTAACTGCTTAATCTCTCCAGCTCATGAACATTAATTTACAGTTAGGTGTAAGTATGAGTTCTGGTGTTTGATTTTTTGTTTTACTATTATTATCATTATACTTATTTGTTGAAGCTCTGATATTGAGACATGATACAACAAAAAGAAAACAGCACTTGCTATTATTGTACAGTAGAGTGACTATAGATAGCAATTATGTACCATATATTTCAAAAAGCTAGACACCCAAAAGATCCAGAACATTAGGGAATACTTTAAAATCCTATACTCTATTAAATTCAAAAACCTAAAAGAAATGGATGGATGTCTAAAATCAGGGGAACCACCAAAGTTAAACCAAGACGAGATCAACAGCTTAAACAGACTCATAACACTTAAGGAAATAATACATATACATATATGCAGGCAATATACCCACAAACATAAAGTAAAAATAATAAACAAAATATTTTTAAAAATAAAAATAAATAGGAAAAATAGATTCCATGCGTGCCAGAATGCTTGTCTATGTGATGTTACACATTTTAATTACATTTAAAATTTCTGAACAAAAATGACTTCCCCAGTGTTTCTTCTTTTACAGCTGGCCCTTAGGTATCAGGAGTAAAAAGTACTTGTTCGTTTCTGCTTCAAGGTATTTCTTTGTGTGTCTTAACAATATGAAGTTTATGTCTATGCTGTCATTACCTTAAAATAACAATCTTGCTTATAATACTCAAACATATAAATGTTACGCTTATAACAAACAAAATACCTAATACCCAAGAAATTTAATATGAGATTTAAGAGTTATAATGAAAAAGTGGTTTCTTATTCAACTTAGAAGCAAAAGTATGCTATTCAAATATAAGAGTAGACAAGTGATTTTGATAATTAGCAATAGTTTTAATTAATTAATTAGTACTGTGATTGAACCTAGGGCCTCATGCATACTCTGAAAGTGCTTTACCACTGAGCTATATCCTAGCCTTCCTTTTACTTTTTGTTTTGGGACAGAGATTCACTAAGTTGCTCACTACGTAGCCCAAGTAGGTCCTGAATTTGTGATCCTCCTGCCTCAGCCTCAGTTGCTGGGATTTAGAGTCCTCACCATCAAGCCTTGCTAAAATAGCAATATTTTGTTTTAAAAACATAATATTTTACTATATTTTCATTTAATAAAATTCTAAACTATCAGCTATCTCTGTAATAATCAACAAATAATAGTATATAGTCTTTGTTTTGTTTCTGATTTGCAGTGCTAGGGATGGAACCCAGGACCTCATACATACTTGGCAAGACCCCCACCACTGAGCTATAACCCCAGTCCCCATACAAATTTTTCTTAACTGTCTTACCTGATCAAATCGTAGCACAGGTTCATTTGAATTATCAAAACTATATACTTCCACCATTCCATCATCTCTTCCAACAAGGAAATCTTTAACTCCATCACCCAAAATATCAAAGCTATCAATACACAAGATACCTATTTTTTTTTTAAAAAAAGCATTAAGTCATGAGTTAGAAAATCAATAGTTGAAGTGAAATACATACTACATAAGAATGAAAAAAACCATTCCATCATCTCTTCCAACAAGGAAATCTTTAACTCCATCACCCAAAATATCAAAGCTATCAATACACAAGATACCTATTTTTTTTTTAAAAAAAGCATTAAGTCATGAGTTAGAAAATCAATAGTTGAAGTGAAATACATACTACATAAGAATGAAAAAAATATTTTTCTGGTCTTTTTGAGACAGGGTCTCCCTGTAGCCCCAGCTGGCCTGGAACTCACTGTGTAGACCAGGCTGGCCTTGAACTCACAGAGATCTGCCTGCCTCTGCCTCCCAAGTGCTGGGATCAAAGGCGTGCACCACCATGCCCGGCTCAGGAATGAAAACTTTTAATAACTCAGAACTGGATAGTATAAAAAGAGCAAGTTTGTACACAATCAGGTGCTTTTCTCCTTTCCATCCACATTCATCTATTTCCGAGGTTTTATATACAATTTGCATGACAATATATGCACTTTTTTTTTTTAATCTCCCTTTAGCTCTGGCCTCTCTGAGTCCCGGAGTCATATGTTCAATTTGGCATCTTCTTGTACATGGACATCTCAAACTTTTCATGTCCCAAGCAAAATTATTTTTCTTTCCACCACACTCCACCAATCTCACTCCTCCAATCTTCCTCCATGCCTAGTAAACTGTGCCATTCAGTTGCCCAGGCTAAAGAAATCTAGGCTTTGCCTCTGATGCCTGTCTTCCTACTCCCCACAGCAAATCCACTACCTCCACAGTATATTCTGAATTTCTCTTCTCTTCATTTCCAACAATAGTTAGCCTGGACTAGGATACTCTGGAGTAGAATAAATGACAACAACTACAAAAAGCAACTTC